CATTTATGTCTTTTCTGTATTAGTTGTTGTTCAATCTCACTGGCGAGGTACTTGGGTTTTATTCTCCAGGCACGATGCCTTATGCTGCTGTGCTATGTGTTTGGGATTCATTTAGTTCCTTGTTGCAGGTCAAGTCCCCTACAAGCTTCCAGCGCATCTTCATCTGCATAGGTTGTTTGTATGTTGGATCTGTCTACTTATTAGCCATGTGACTGTTCCGGGTGGGAGAAACAGAGATAGAAAGAACGACTTGCTTGTTATTGAGAGGGAGGAATGGGGTATGACAAGACAGGACATGGAGAGACACCTCAGCAAGCTACACGAGTTCAGCGTATCAAACTTGTTCTAAGGGATACAAGTTCAAGCTGATTGTAATACGAGATTAATGGGAATGATTCCTTCAAGTAACTGAAGAAATCAGTAAGTTTATAATGTATCCTACTAATTCAGACTGAGTTCTTTCCTGCTTCATTTTGATAAAAATCTAATGTCCTGTGGCTGCAGTGTCAAAGAGATGACTTGTGTAATGGACAAACCTAGAATGACAGTGAAAACAATCCGTTAAGAAAGAACAATGCTCCAAAACTAGGTATGGTCCATTCTTAAATTAATATTGCATATGTGATGCATGAATGCCTTGGTTTAATTTCAATCTCCAAAATCTCAAACAAAAGAAAAACGACAATAAAAATGAACAAAGATAATATGACAGAACTTCATTTGTTTTTCTTGATGCTTCTGTTCTTTCCACCACTGGTTCTAGTCTAATGTTGTTTCTGTAGCAGAACAAAATAAGAAAAAATAATATTAAAGATGTAACTTCCAACATAAAAAATCATATAATCTTGTTGGTAAAATCATTAGTGTGATTGTAAAAGTACCAGTTGATGTTCATCGTCTGGACGATCATCATACCGACTAGTACTCCCAGCCTCCCAACACTATTTCATGTATGCTTCTCTGCTCCCTTCTCTTGTTCACTGGTATTACTCCTAGTATGTGCCCCAATCTGTTAGAGGAGGGCAAATTAACTCTTAAGCTAATAAACGTTTCTAACAAATTGACAATTTAGTGAATAAACAAATACTATATAACCTTTTGTGGTGGCTGACTTTTTCCCATGGGCTCTACAGTAGTATTATGCTTGCTGTTTCGCTGCTTCTGGTAAAAATAAAATAACAACTTTAAGTTATTAACGCTAATAACTATATTAAGAACATCTAACCAGAGATGCTAATTACCTTTGGGGGCTGACCACCTTGGTCATCATCTCCATCATCATCGTCTCCATCTTTTCCGTCATCTCTATCATCGTCCCCATCATCGTCCATGTCATCTTCATCATCCTCCTCCTCATATTGAGATCCTACCACGTCGACTGGGGGTTAGTACAAGTGCTCCTATAATGCCCATCCCTTAGCCCGCAGTTCCCACACTTTCTTCTTTTTTTCTTAAGTTGTTTTTTCCCTTTCCCTTTCCTACAACCCTTAAAACTCACTTGCTTTGGGTTCAATACATCTTTGAACTTTTCTGGTATGACAATCCTTTCTCTTTAGGTGGTGGTTTTCTTTACCATCTCCAACTTGTTACACGCTGCTGTCAACTCCTCTTGAGCCATACGATAAGAGAGAGGAGTGTTGGCTCCTAATAAGCAGAATCAATGAGTCAAGAACTGTAGTGACCTGTACCTAATGCTGAAACTGTTGTCATCCCCCAGTGATATTCTTGGACAAATGCCATGCACATAGCCGATGTGTTGCATTTGGGAACACATTAGCAATAGCATTCCTCATTGCTTTATCCCCATCTGTGACAACTGCATGTAGCGACCTTTCCCCCAACATTTCCTTCACTATCTTCAATGCCCAAATATAGGTTTATTCAGTCTCGTTAGGTAACACTTTACTCACAAATAAGCAAGAGTTAAAGTGATGATTGATACCTACAATGTCAAACAGAAACTCGGAAAAATCTGAAACTTTTGAACCAGCAATAAATGAACCAGCAAGAGAAAATCTAAAATAGTGAGGAATATGTACACAATGGTAGAGTTCAAACAATAAAGCAACAACTAATACTTAGACGGCATATTAGGATGGCGTACATGTGAAAATGACCAGCGACATATTGTAAATGTTTTTTTTTGTACGTTGAGTCAAGTGCGAGTAACTCTCCAAAACACGAAATGTCGGCTCTGCAAATGCTGTCAGCCCAAAATAAACTATGGAGCATTTTTTCCTCATCAATAGTGTATCGGAGGAGGAAGTGTGGGTCTGTGTTTTTCTTTGATTCTAGATAGGCGAGTGCCATTGCTGCATCACCCTCACTGATTCTCTCAGCGCGGTCTTTGGTGCTGAAATTTAACTCATCTTTAACTGTATACCCAAGTTTGTCATGCCCTCTAGCACAATGCACAGCAAGCTTAATGGCCTGAGAAGGTTTGATTCCGACATCCTTTTTAATCCTCGATGTGACCTCAAGTAATGTACATGTTTCTGCTTAACTGGGTCATGAGTGTGCTTTGGGTTAAATATATCAGCAACCCACTTATTGTTTGTCTTGTTCAATGTCACACGAAACTTAGCCCTGCACTCAAATCTGACCTCCATAGGCGAATCCCTCTTTTGTGGAACTTTATGTGGTGCTCTAACTCCCTGACAGGAACACACAAAGGCTGCACTTGTTACCTCTCCCTTGACGTTCTTAACCTTCCTCGACTTACGGACAAAAAAACCCAACTCTTAGCATATTTGTTGTAGAACGTATATGCATCCCCAAAACCATTGAATTCATGTCCGATAAAAGGAGAATTCTGAATAACGTTGGTGGCATCCTCCTGTCAGTAGGACCATCATTGTTAGGGGTCATTGTTTCTTATAGGATTTCAAGATCACTATCTTCGTTTGTGTTGATATTATCTCCCCCTTCCTCCATTCGTGGGTCGATTTTTGCTGTTTGTGGGGAGGCTGAATCGGGAGTAAGGAAGTAAAGAGGTCTGGTTGTTACTCCCCGATAGTTTTTGAAGCAATTAGGTTTTATTTATTATATATGTTACCGTGTGATTTTTATAGTAGTAAGCATTTTCTATAAATAAACACTTGGTTAAGGCTTTTTTTTTACGGCAGGGAGCCCGCCCTTGTCGGATTCAAGTACTTATTTTTTATAAATAAATACTTGGTTAAGGCTTATACTTCTGTGCAATTACTTGATCTGCCTTTTGTTTCTTATTTGAAGAGGTGTATGTGATTATTGGATCTTACAAGGCTATCTCTTCGCTTGCTACTTGAGTGCAGGGATATTCTTGTTCTTGGTGTTTGTCTGGGTCACCAGGTAATTTCCTTCATCCTCTCATTGTGGCTTCTCTGCATCTTTAATTTTACCTTTTTTTTATTAAGCAATTTTATTAAATAAATACTTGGTTATGGCTGAAGCTATGCAGATTTTTAGTGAAATGTCGAGCAAAGGATGCAAGCTTTATTCGAGCTCCTTGAATTCTGCTCTGACACCCAAATGGAGATTCGAACCTGGCCTGTTTTGCTCAAAACATCACATTGTTTCATGAAATATCATCCAACAGATGAGGGTAGAATCTTTCTTCCAAAAGGTTTTTGGTGTTATTTTTCATTATGATTATGGAGATAGAGCTCAATCTAATGGGTTAACAACTTAACATGCATGTTGTTTCTCCCAAATAGGCCAAAATTGCTTAAGTGGCTGATCAAACGGCTTCATGAGTCTCCAATGCTTGCAGTTTGAATTGACAGGTTAAATTGCAGTGCCCATTGAACACCCTTCAATCGCATCAGCATGAGATTTGCTGTAACCTTTTCTTTACTCCACGCCAAACTTGACATTGTATTTACTCTCCAAGATTTCCAAATTAATTATATGATTGGTCTGTTGAGTGAAATTCAGATGGATATCCTTGTGTAGCTTCATCACTTGCACTACTGTAGCAAGCATCCTTATGGTAATTATAAATGATTCACTCAGCCTTTTTTGTTTTTCTTTTGTTTGTTGAGTGCAGCAGTTTGGGGTTGTCCTGGTTCAGCTTTTTCTGCTCTTTTTCTTTTCGCTTGGATGATTCCTCGTAATCCTATTGTTTCTTACTTTGGCTAATATTAGTTTTCCATCCTTAGAAAATAAATAAATAAATAAATAACACTAATATACTTGTTCTTCGAAATGTTCAGATACTACGCTGTGCAGAATGTATCGGCACTACGGAGATTGGCTATCCGCAGTGTAAGCATTTCATAAAGCTGGTGATGTGGCACCCAGGAGCCATCCATCAAATATCGAAATGAGTTACTGTCACTATGATCATCGGTCATTTGGAGTTCTTTTTTACCAGGAATCATTTGTTCTTCCTCTGTCCTAGCACGGGTGAAGTTCTCAAGTAGAGTCTAGGGTTGATTAACAGAGTTTGCCATCCATGCTGTGATTTCCAGGAATTCTGTAATTGGGTAGTGAGAACATTCAAGGGTAAACAAGCTTCTACAAAAATTGTGAGATTGATTTGGAATCTAACTGTAAGTATCTGTGGAAGGAAAGGTGCAAGAGGTTATACAATGGATATTGGAGGTGTTTGTGATCGAATTAAGTACATGGTTACTAAAAATGGATTCTGACTTTAATGGGTATTTCTTTGCTTTACTTATTCTTGTGTCACTATGCTACCATTACCACGTACATATATATGTACATGGTTTCGGTTCGCGATGTTGGTCGAGTAGTTTGAAAAGGTTTGGGGGTGTCGCTCATCCACCAAGATCACTCATCATTCATGTATCCAGCGACCTCGTCTGGCAGCAACATGTGTTGGCATGCACCTAAGCTTCCCACTAGTCTATGTTCTACAAAGCAAATAGGCTTGAGCTTAACCAACACCAAACACAAATCATGTAGAAACTTAAATGACATAATGCAACAAACTAAATGAAAAGAAACATGAAATGGAATTCAATAACAAACTTTGCGTAAAGTACTTGTTGTGTAGTATAAATAGAAATAGTTTGTTCTCAAACTGAACAATGGACAATGTACCAAAATAAGTGAAAATCCAAAAAAAATTAAACATAAGCATCACCACCAAAACGCTCAAGAACTCCCAGAACGCATACTTAACTAGTTCATCAAAATTCAAAAAAACTTAAAAATATGCATCTCCACGCATGACTGCCATGTCATTGAGTATCATATTTTTCCATGCCATCGAGTGTTTATGAGCTTGTCGATTCACTTTCTCCAAATTAGCATTCTGAGGCCCACCAACCAAGTCAAGAGCTAGCCTCATTCGATCCACATCACCACAGCGCTGTGTACAGAAGATGAAACCAAGTAAACATTTAAAAACAAAACTTGCCATTCAATTGTGAAACAAATATCATTAAGGAACAAGATCCCTTACCCCAACATCATAGCGTGCCAGATTATCTGAGAACCTCATCCATAAGCAAACCCACATGCCACCATCAAATCTAATACAAATAGCTACTTCATAAGTTTATGTAAAATCAAAAGTTTCATAGTGATATCCAAGAATTGCATTATCCCTTACTTGTTTTCTTGTGTAAAAACCCCATCTAGACTAATCACCTGAAAGCCACGGATGTTTGGCAGATCCTTTGTTGTACCCAATTGAAAGTACTACCTCCGAAATAAGTCATATAAAAAATTCATTTGCAAAATCATCTAAAGATTATTGAATCGAAGAAGAAGGAATATAAAATATATGAATTATAAAGCTACACTAGTTTGCTAACCATATGGCGTACAGTCATTGCACAAAACTCATTGTTGTTTGCCCTAGGAGCAGAGTCAACCAAATGAACTTCTTCTAATTCCATCATCAACACAGCCAGGTACCAATGCTTACCATCCTTCAATGGTAGATAGATCTGCCAAATATTGACATAAAGATTATTACCATTTAGCAAAAAAATGGGAAAACATCTACACATTACTGATTGAATTGTTAATGAGTTACCTTATTGCATCCATAGGCATTGCGTAAGTAGCTGAATCGATAATCATTGAATACACTGTCAGCAGTATAGACATACTTCTCTAATCCTGCCTACAAGTTCAAATTTGGAATTTAACAAGTGAAAATCATTATGTATAAAGGACAAATCTAAAAAATTATTACTAGTGATCCATATTTGATTACCTATATATAAGTAGGGAGAAAGCACGATTTGCTTTCAATTCTATGTTGCTTATCATACATGACAGAGAGGTTGAGATACTACGCATACATTGAAAGGACCTTAAAAACAGACAACATAATTATTTTTAATGGATATTTAAAACATATACCAAAAGTTAAAGACATAATTTACCTCATCTTATAGGTACTCGTTAGGCAGCAAGCTCAACAGTGAGCTACGAGTACAGGACTGGGAACCATTTTTTACTAGTATCTTTTCGGTAGCAAGATCTTCCACGAACATGTAATAGGCCAGTCCAACCTCTTCTGAAGTCAAATGCATGCTACTAGTGATAGGAAAATTCATTACAACCTGACACAAAAAGTCAAATACTATAAAATCTAATATACTGCCTAATACTAAGCATTTATGTAACTGTACCACGACTACCTCAGATATGGTTGTCACATCAGGCTCGTCATCATCAATGATAATGACTTCATAAATTGGTGTCGCATTAACGTCTCTAAACTCAAGCCTCCTCTTTGTAAGGTTGCAGGAACCACTCTGTCAATTTTTAGCAAAGGATAATAAAGAAAACTTGGTATAAAGTCTAATTAGTTATTTTTAGGGTTAATACCTTATTATGGCCTGAACTATGACCATGTAATCAACTTTGGCCCGTGTTTGAGAAATTAACATCCTGGCCCGAACTATGCAGCATATAGACAGAATTGGCATGGAGCGTGGTTTGACCGTTTGTTTGGACGGTCAACACCGTTGACCGTTAGTCAACTGTCCACGTCACTGCCATGTCACAAATGTTTTTTTATAATTTCATTTTTCTTTTTATTTCCTTTACAAAATTGAATAATAAAGAAAAAAACAATAACTTTTGGCCACCCATCCCCACCCTATCCCCTCACCTTCTTTCCTTTTCGATCAAACCCAAACAAACCCTATCTTCCATTATTCTTCTTCCTCCTTCTTCCCCGACGAGCCGCCGCCTCCATATCCCAAACGAAAACAAATCCCTTCTTCCCCGACGAGCCGCCGCCTCCATATCCCAAACGAAAACAAATCCCTTCTTCCCCGACGACCCGCCGCCTCCATATCTCAAACAGCTCCCTTCTTCCCCGACGACCACAAATCCCAGTAAGCACGAGAAGCCTCCAACACCTCAACAGAAAGCACTGCACCAGCAACAGCACCCAGCCCAGCTCGCCGAAGTACTCCACCATCTGGGTTCCATTCATTGGCCTATTACTGATGATGGTGGTGTTTGGGTTTGGGTTGGTGTAGCGGGAGCTTGTACAGGAGCAATCACAGGTGCTTTTGCTAGTCGAGCGTGATAGGCCAATGAAAGAAAGAAAGAACGGGACGAATGAATCGAGGAGTGATAATCAGTTTTAACATATTGAATTTTTGGGCTTTATGTGATTATCCATGGTATGTTTAGGCCGATTGGTGCTATTTTAGGGCTCGCTAACCCGGAAATGGTTGAAAAACCATTATTGCCTAGTGCCATGAGTTTGATATGATGCAGATGGAGAAAGCACGAAAAAGGAGTGAGTGCATAAGCAATAAATAGGGCTCGAACTACTGGGGACGGAACTCTTGGGACAAGAAATGGGCCAAAGCCCATTCTACTTCCCTCCTTGGATTTGGCGGCTGTGGGAAGTGGGCCAAAGCCCATTTGGACTTCTCCTTTTGGGCGGCTAGTTTTGGACAGGGAGCAGAGGGAAATTCTTTGGACGGAACTGGAGAATTACTTTGGTGGGCATCTTGTAATTGATGGGCGGCTATTAGAGGAAGAGGGTGACTTTATTTCTTAGAGGGGATTGAAGGCAGCTGGCGGCGGAATTCTCCTGGAGGGGGATTATAGAGGCGGAAGTCTTTGGCGAAGAAAAAGCAAGCGCAGCAAAGTTGGCTCGCGCGAACAGCAGAGATTGGAGCGGCGATTGGCAATTGACGATCAATTTCTTCAAGGCTTGAGCCGAATTCAACGAGAGCGATTAGTTGGTTGGATTTTCTAAACCGAATTAGTTTTTTCTTGTTGATTTAGAACATGATGAACAGAACCCTATCAATTTATCTTAATTTTGTCATGAACTAAACCCCAATTTATGGGGGAAACACCATAGGATGTAGCTATTTCGTGATTTGATGGATTGATTTATGATTCTTTTCTTCCAATCTCTATTGCATGAAATTACTTAATGCTTTGTGTTGACTGGCCACCAATACAACGATTTGTAGTTAATTAGGTTATTAGCGACAGTGAAACCCTAATAACTGAACCTATTTAATGTGACATAGTAACTTATCGAAGCGATAGTGGATTAAATAAGGTGCTATGCGGTCTTAAATAGGAAATCGATCTTCAGAATATATAGTTAATTCATTGAGCTACGACAGTAGGATTTGAATTGATTATTTAGTACGTAGTAATTCCCGACAGGGATAGCTAGCACATTCGTGATATCTTGGCTGTAGAGATATAGATTAAATTGATTGGAATCTGTGAATTAATCTGGATAGGATAGGTAGTGAGTCTCGGTGTTTCTCCCATAGCTTTCTCCCATTAATTTAAACCCGACACTTTAATTTGCTTAATTAGTTAATTTTGCTAGTAGTTAATAATCTCGTTAAACCATTTTCACCTATAGTTTGCTCTACAAAATTGATAGAACTTAAGGTTGTACCAGTCCCTGAGAGACGATACTCGGACTTTCCGGTTTACTACGAGATAGGAAATTGGAATATACGCTTTTGCCCTACCAAGTTTTTGGCGCCGTTGCTGGGGACTGCCATACCTTATTTTTGTTGATTTTTGTGAGTGAGGTATTTTGATCTGGGTGTTAGTGTGCAGGTGAATTTTTCAGGTTTATCCTCCTCGTGCATGCCAAGGAGGACGACTGGCAATTTACTGCCACTAGATCCCGAGATCGAGAGGACTTGCCGACAGAACAGGAAGCATGTCAAGTTAGGGAAGCAGCCTACCACATCCACAACTCCTAGGCCTTCCCTAACTCAGAATCGTCAACCGAGAAGGCAGGTGTCACCACCTGTCATCCCTACACCACCGACACCGCCGCCGTGCATCATCGAGCCTGTTATCATGGCACAACAGGATCGTTCGATAAGGGCTCGCTTGAATCGAAGGACTGGAGCCCGAGCTTCATGTGTTGTCATTCCGGCTGGGGATGCAAACATGGAGATTACCCCAGCCTTCATCAATATGATCACTAATGGGTACACCTTCTCCGGGGCTAGCAGTGAGGATCCTCATGAGCATCTTCGCCGGTTCGCGAGCATTTGTGATACTATGAAGAGCCCGACCGTGTCTGATGATGCAATCCGTCTTCGGATGTTCTCATTTTCTCTGCTAGGGAATGCATCACACTGGTTCCAAAACTTAACACCCCGTTCCATCACGACATGGGGCCAGCTTGAGAAGGTATTTCTGGATAAATACTTCCCACCTGCCTTGGCAATGAAGAGGCAAGAAGAGATTGTTACTTTTAAGCAGGCTGATGATGAGAGTCTAACTGAGGCATGTGAGCGCTACAAGGGGCTGTTGATGAGATGCCCAAGCCATGGTCTTGAAGATTGTAACGTGATCATTATTTTCTTCAATGGAATCAGAAGAGAGTTTTGGGATGCCCTGAATAATGCTTCTCGAAATGGTTTCACAAGCATGGAGGCACCAGCAGCATATGATCTGGTAGAGAAGATCTGTTCAGAAGCCACTGAATGGGGTAGTGAGACCAGTATTCGAAGGAGAGGAGGCTTGCATGAGATAGACAAAGCTGCAAGTTTAGAAGCAACGATTGATGCTAAGCTGGATTCCAAGTTCGATGCACTCGAATGAAGGCTGGCCAAGATTGCTTTGGGTAGACAAGAGGAGGTTGCTTCATGTGAACTTTGCGAGGGTCCTCATCATAGGAATATGTGTCCGCTGGGAGCTGCTCAGTTGGAAGATGTTCAGTATATCAATAATCCGCGAAGTCAAGGTCAGGGTGGTATGCATTCTAATACATATAACCCTCAATGGAGACATCACCCCAATATGCATGGTCAAATAATAATCCAGCTGGTGTTCGAAACATCCCACCTCCTGGTTTTCAACAGCAGCAGCCTCTACCAGAGAAGAAGCCCCAGCTGGAGGAGTTGATTTTGGCTCATATGCAGAAAACATACAATAATTTCAAGGGCCTGGATCAATTTTTCACTCAACAGCTAGCCATCAACAATAATTTACAATCGTCTATGCTAGCTATGGAGAGGCAGATGGGACAGATGGCTCAAACTTTGGCAGATATGCAAGGCAGGATTCCTGGGACATTACCAGCAAATACTGAGAGGAATCCGAAGGATGCCATGGTTGTAGCAGTGAAATTGAGGAGTGGAAAGGCCTTGGAAGACCCTAGCAGCTCGAAAAAGGCACCAGAGGCAGAAGAGGAAGCACTGGGAGAAAGATCTTGTGCAGAAAATGAAGAATCAGCCTTGCACAGGCAAAATGAAAGCAGTTTGCCTGTGCAAAAGCATGTTGCCCGTGTAAAACCAACAGGGGAAAATGCAAAGATGGAGGAGCTAAAACCTTATGACCCACCCGCACCATTCCCTCAGAGGTTAATGAAGCCCATGGAAGACCCAAACTTCAAGAAATTTGTGAATATCTTCAAGCAACTTCATATCAACATACCGTTGGCGGAGGCACTTGAACAGATGCCTACATATGCTAAATTCTTAAGGGAATTGCTGACGAAGAAGCGCAAATGGGCTGATCTGGAGAAGGTAACCCTTACTTCTGAATGTAGTGTTGTGATTCAGAATAAATTACCAAAAAAGAGTGATGATCCGGGCAGCTTCACCATTCCATGTGTCATTGGAGGTACAGAATTCAATAAATCACTTTGTGATCTTGGAGCAGGAATTAATTTGATGCCATACTCAGTCTACAAGAAATTGGGATTGAGAGATGTTCTTAAACCTACTCGGATCACTCTCCAATTGGCTGATCGATCAGTAAAAATTCCAAAAGGAGTGGTGGAGAATGTATTGGTGAAGGTGGGGAAGTTTATTCTCCCAACAGATTTTATAATTCTGGAGATGGAAGATGATCGGGGAGTGCCTCTAATTCTCGGCAGACCTTTTCTAGCAACCGGTGATGCACTCATCGATGTTGGGAAAGGCAAGTTGACATTCCGAGTAGGTAAGGAGGAGGAAATTTTTAATGTCTTTCAAGTTGACCATAATCATGATGACTTTGAAAGTGGAGCTCGAGAAAGGAAAAATCCCTCTCCCTGTGATAGTGGACCATCCGAAGAACTATCACCTATCCTATCTGCTCAGATTCTGAAGTCAAAGCAAGGGCAGAAATCCTTGCCAGGTCACCTCAAGTATAGATATTTGGGTAAGGATTTCAATCTTCATGTTATTATTCCTTCTTCACTAACATTGAAACAGGAAGAGTACCTGCTTGAGGCGCTGCAGTACCACCTATGCCTCACTAAAGGGTCTAACATGCCAGCTAAGAAGGTCATACCCAATTTTCGCACACCTGGCCCTGCAGAGGTGACTCATATGCTGGATGGAGGTTATGCGTTCTATCATTGCTCGGGTGGGTATTCTGGATACCTTTGCATACCCATTGGTTGAAAGCTCCATAAACGTCAGGCTGAGGACGTTAAACAAGCGCTTCTTGGGAGGCAACCCAAGGTAAGTTTTCTTTTCTTTATTTTTCTTTTTCGTTGTGTCAAACCGTGCATGTTTAGATTAGGAGTTGAACATTAGGGACAATGTTCCATCCTGAGTGTGGGGTGGCGAGTCTTAGTGTTTGTTTGTTCCTTTTGCCTGTGGTCGGTAAAAAAAAAGTAAAAAAAAATTGCCATTGGTGAGTCTTAGTGTTGTTTGTCCCTGTTGCATGTGATAAAAAAAAAAGTTAAAAAAAAAAATTTGCCATTAGGTTGAGCACAGCCAAACTGCAATTAGTTTGCCTGTGCAAAAAGCAGGTTGCCTGTGCAAAGCTAATGGCTAAAAAACACCTAAAAATCAGAAAACTTAAAAACAAAACCTTGTACTCTTGTGGTAACATGATGTAAATGAGTGTGATGCGTGTGAAATGAGTTTGTGCTTGAAGAATCATCCAAATCACCCCACTAGTGTTGAATTGCATAGTTCTACACAATGAGCTTGAATGTTTTGACTGACATGATGTGCTTTGAATGAGCAAACTCTTCTAGCAACATTCTCTTTTGTGAGGATAGTGTAATGACTTTTGGTGAAGTAGTTAGGTGGAGAACATTGACCATTCGACATGTTTGGATACCGTGCTTACTTGCATCAAGTGTGAGCTTTGATTTTGCAATGAGTCTCTCTGTTTTGAATGTTTTATGATGGGGTGAACTGTATCTTTATAAAAGAAAACACTACCTGACAAGTAAAATATAAGAAAGTTGCCATAACAATTAAAGTGTGGGTAAAAATGCCAAAATCGTGTGAGGCAATCACTCATTGCACATGGGGATGAGGAAAGATTCAATTGAGAATCGGTTCGCGACCGTACGATGTTGCTTATCAAGTACGATCCCCAGTTGAGTGAAGTGCCATTTGAGGATGTGCAATGACCCTCCACACGGACCGAGGAAAAGGAGTTAAAAGAAGCCCTTATGCGAATGCTAAGAAGCAGAAATTGCTCTTGCTCGGTCACCGATAGTAAGAAACAAATCCCACTTGTACTAAATACGACCTCTCGGCAAGCAAAAGCAGAAAGAGAGAAAGCCTCTCCTTGTCATAAAAGGTAGTGATGTGCTTAAAGTTAAAATCATGTTTGCGAAAGGCTTCCCCTATTAGTTTTTGAGACTCATGCTTAATTAATTGCTTATGATTGGTGTGAGTAAGCCAGACTGTCCTCACGAGATATGCACCTCACTGATGTGGTTAGATTCTCCTAATAATTGTTGCACCATAAGTTGTTAACCACCCACTACCGACGATCGAAATTGAGTGTTGCTATTTGAGTTTTTGATGGATTTGAGTCAGTCAATGGTAATGGTTGCAAACAACTTGAGTGTGGGGTGAAAGGTATGACCATTAAAGCACAACTTGTCCGTTGAGAAAGAAACTACTGATTACAACAAGAGTACAAGGAAATTTTGTGTTTTGCTTTTAGTGAGTCTGTGGTGTGTCATTGTTTTGGGATGATTATGTGTTTGTGATGTTTGAGTCGTTGCTTAGGGACAAGCAACAATTAAGTGTGGGGTTGTGATAATCAGCTTTAACATATTGAATTTTTGGGCTTTATGTGATTATCCATGGTATGTTTAGGCCGATTGGTGCAATTTTTGGGCTCGCTAACCCGGAAATGGTTGAAAAACCATTATTGCCTAGTGCCATGAGTTTGATATGATGCAGATGAAGAAAGCACGAAAAAGGAGTGAGTGCATAAGCAATAAATCGGGCTCGAACTGCTGGGGATGGAACTCTTGGGACAAGAAATGGGCCAAAGCCCATTCTACTTCCCTCCTTGGATTTGGCGGCTGTGGGAAGTGGGCCAAAGCCCATTTGGACTTCTCCTTTTGGGCGGCTAGTTTTGGACAGGGAGCAGAGGGAAATTCTTTGGACGGAACTGGGGAATTACTTTGGTGGGCATCTTGTAATTGATGGGCTGCTATTAGAGGAAGAGGGTGACTTTATTTCTTAGAGGGGATTGAAGGCAGCTGGCGGCGGAATTCTCCTGGAGGGGGATTATAGAGGCGCAAGTCTTGGGCGAAGAAAAAGCAAGCGCAGCAAAGTTGGCTCGCGCGAACAGCAGAGATTGGAGCGGCGATTGGCAATTGACGATCGATTTCTTCAAGGCTTAAGCCGAATTCAACGAGAGTGATTAGTTGGTTGGATTTTCTAAACCGAATTAGTTGTTTCTTGTTGATTTAGAACATGATGAACAGAACCCTATCGATTTATCTTAATTTTGTCATGAACTAAACCCCAATTTCTGGGGGAAACACCATAGGATGTAGCTATTTCTTGATTTGATGGATTGATTTATGATTCTTTTCTTCCAATCTCTATTGCATGAAATTACTTAATGCTTTGTGTTGACTGGCCACCAATACAACAATTTGTAGTTAATTAGGTTATTAGCGACAGTGAAACCCTAATAACTGAACCTATTTAATGTGACATAGTAACTTATCGAAGCGACAGTGAATTAAATAAGGTGATATGCGATCTTAAATAGGATATCGATCTTCAGACTATATAGTTAATTCATTGAGCTACGACAGTAGGATTTGAATTGATTATTTAGTACGTAGTAATTCCCGACAGGGATAGCTAGCACATTCGTGATATCTTGGCTGTAGAGATATAGATTAAATTGATTGGAATCTGTGAATTAATCTGGATAGGATAGGTAGTGAATCCCGGTGTTTCTCCTAGAGCTTTCTCCCATTAATTTAAACCCGACACTTTAATTTGCTCAATTAGTTAATTTTGCTAGTAGTTAATAATCTCGTTAAACCATTTTCACCTATAGTTTGCTCTACAAAATTGATAGAACTTAAGGTTGTACCTGTCCCTGAGAGACGATACCCGGACTTTCTGGTTTACTACGAGATAGCAAATTGGCATACACGCTTTTTCCCTACCAAGGAGGCAGCCCGGAACTACCTAAAGCGAAAATCCCCGTCAGCGCACCAGAGATGGCTCCAGCCACCAACTTGGGAACGCAATTGAGCACTCGATTCCCCTGGTATTCAACTACGCCGCCTTCCATCACCGTCCAATACTGCCCCTCACCCGCCTCGCCGCTGCTAGTGCATCCACATACGCCGCAGGAATCCTCCGACCTGCTAACAAACTGGCTACTGCTACAGTTGTTGCAACCAGTCGCAACATCCATCATGAGAATAGAAACACACACCCTCCCTCCCAACAGAAGAAGAGAATATGAAAAGGGAACAAAAACAAACCAAGCGAGGTTAGAATCTGAGGTTTGAATCTGAGATTTGAACAAAAACACACACCCTAATTTTGTCAAATCAACAAGGTTTGAATCTGAGGTTAGAATTTGTGGATTAGAAGCTATTGGAATGGAGAGTAGGATCGGGGAAGAAGGGATTTGTTTTCGTTTGGGAAATGGAGGCGGCGGCTCGTCGGGGAAGAAGGAGGAAGAAGAATAATGGAAGATAGGGGTTGTTTGGGTTTGATCGAAAAGGAAAGAAGGTGAGGGGATTTTTTTTGACAAAAGATAATCATATATTGATTAAACAAAAGATAGTTACATCCTGGGCAAGAGCCAGGCACGGAAATCAAAAGAACGACTCATAAGCGGGTACAAAGAGAGGGCTTTCCTAGCCACCAAATGGGCTACCCTATTGTTACGCCGACCAACAAATCTAACACTAAACCCAGGGGTGCTGGAAAAAATCTACACGAGCTCCTCCATAACAGCACCTAACCGGTTATCCCAAACATCCGCCTGATTGATTTTATCAATAACTACTTTAACATCCCCCTCAAAACTCATGCAAGTGAAACCAAGAGCCTGACACCAAAGAACAGCTTCCCGAAGAGTCATCAATTCCAAAAATCAAGGGAACTGCACACCCTTAACCATCAGAACATCACGTCCCGGGGTAAGAATAACCATGCCACCGGCAGAGTGGGAGTCCCTCCTAACAACCCCATCCCACATACAAACAGCCCTGTCCACCTTCCCCAGATCCTGCTGGGTTTGCTCCGGCATGGTACGGGGGGAGGCGGGACCACTCATCCAATTGTTGCTGGAATTGACGCATCAAGGCAGGAAAGCCAAACTGCTTGCCCTCAAAGACAACCCAGTTTCGAGAACGCCAAATCCGCCAGAGCACAGAAACTACGGCCATAAAAAGAGTAGGCTGATGAATTAAAGCCAGTAGTCGTTTAAGGAATATAGGGAAAGTATGACGAGGCAGCCCCTCCCCCAAATGGGCCAGACCCGAATAATCATACAAGGCCCTCGCCACCGGGAAATCAAGAAAAAGATGCTCCATCGTTTCCGAACTAGCCCAGCACACAGGACATCGGGGGAGCACAGGGACCCGTTTCTCAATAAGAGCCTCCGTAGTCGGCAGGATCCGATTCAGAATTCTCCAGACAAAGACCTTTAACTTGGGAGGAATATTGGCTTCCCATAAGCGAATCCAGATTGCCCTATCCATCCAACTGACCATCGGCTTCCAATCCCCTCTCCGCTTATCAAGAGAGACTGCTACATGATAAGCTGACTTGACCGTGAAGATCCCATCTGGAGTATCATGCCAAATCAATTTATCACCCACTGGCTGTCTTGGGAGAGGTACCGATTGGATGGCACGACAGGTCGGGGGATCAAACCATAAGCGAAGTTCCCGGTCATTCCAGTGCCCCTCTCCCTGACAGATAACCTCTACAACAGTCGGATCCCCCCTTCCGGCAAGATCCTAGGATTAAACCTAGGATGATCAAGTTGGAGAGAAGGAATCCAATTATAATGAAGAAGAGAAGCAGACTGACCAGTCCCAATCTGCCACCGCAACCCCTTCTCCAAAAGATCTCTCCCAAAAAGAATACTTTGCCAGCCCCACGAAGGACGAGATCGTGCCTTGGCAGTAAGAAAGGAACCTATTGGGAAATATTTGCCTTTGTAAACCTGGGCCAAAAGGGACTCGGGTTCTATCAGAATACGCCAACCAATTTTAGCAAGCAACGCCTGGTTAAATTGCTCAAAACGGCGAAAACCCATCCCTCCCTCATGCTTACTACGACACATGTTGCGCCAGGACATCCACCGAATCCGAAAATGGTCCTCAGTAACACCCCACCAGAATCGAGCTACATGCTTGTCCAGGAGGCGACACAACGAGACCGGCAGCTTGAAGAAAGACGTTACATGCAGAGGTAATGCCAGAGCAATGGACTTATCAAAGTTTCCTTTGCTGCCCAAGATAAGGTCTTCTGTTTCCATCCCTGAAACCGTTGTAATAATTTCTCCTCAAGGTACCTAAAGGTGGCCATCTTCGAACGCTCAAACAGCGTCGGGAGCCCCAGGTATTTATCATGAACCCCCACCGCTCCCACACCCAAAATAGCAGCCAAAAACTCTTGATCCGTTTGAACAATGTTCCTACTAAAACAAACAGCCGTTTTATCCAGGTTCACTCGCTGGCCACTCAGTTCCTCATATTCATCAAGAACTTCTATCAAATTTTCACACTCCTGGAGCGAACCTCTCAAAAACAAATAAGAGTCATCAGCGAAAAATAAATGAGAGATCCGGGGTGCCCGAGGAGCCACTTTAACACCTTCCAACCTTCCTTCCACAATAGCTTTCCGAAGGAGGGCCGCAAAGCCCTCCGTAAATAGCACAAATAAAAGGGGGGAGGGCGGATCCCCTTGCCGCAGCCCTCTAGAAGATGTGAAGTAGCCAGATGGGGAACCATTCATGAGGACAGAGAAAGATGCAGACCGAAGACATTCTAGAATCCATTCTTTGCCAGATCGAGTTAAAACCCATTTTCGCCAAAACAGCTATAAGAAAGGACCATTCGACTCTGTCATAGGCCTTTTCCACGTCAACCTTCAGAGCCATGTACCATTTCTTACCCTGCTTTTTGATTTTCAAATAGCGCATTAACTCATGACCCAGAAGAATATTTTCCACAATCTGCCGATCCCGGATAAACGCATTCTGACCCTCCGAGATAATTTGAGGCAAGATGCAAGCAAGTCTTTTAGGCTGTTTCGACCCCATTGCAAACGCATCCCAGAAGGCTTTGAAAAATTTCCCAGTGAATCCATCGGATCCGGGCGCCTGTTTCGACCCCATTGCAAATACGTCTTCCAAACTTCACAAGGTAGGACTGCCGCCGTTAGGCTGGCATTCATTTCAGGCGTAACACTTTGAGTAACGGGCAAAGCCGCCACACGCTCAACCATGTTGGACACTTGATTCTCTGTAGTGAAGAGCTGCTGGTAAAACAACGTAGCAATCCCCGCCTTCCCAGCCTCATCCGTGATCCACTCTCCATTCTCATTGCGAAGGCCCTCCACAAAATTCTTTTTACGACGAACTCTGGTCACTGTGTGGAAATAGGCCGTATTTTTATCTCCCTTTTTCAGCCAGTGAACCCTGGACTTTTGGTGCCAATAAGTCTCCTCAGCCTCCCATTGCCGATTCAATTCCTTCTTCAGGTTCCTAACTTCATCCTAGTCAATCGGGTGGACGAGTTTAACCCTATCAATTTTGCTCTGGAGGGTTTTCATATTACGCAGCGAGTTGGTGGTGCCCGTCCTACTCCAGTCATATAACAAATGTCGAAGCCTCTTAAGACGTTCCCAGAGATGGAACATGGGCGTCCCCTGAACATCCTCTTGCCAGACATAGGACACCATAGCCCTGACTTCCGGATTTTCAGCCCACCGAGCATCAAACCGGAAAAGAGGCCGACAATTTCTAGCGTATGGCTTATCAGACAGCAGGAGAGCTCGATGGTCAAAACCTTGGTCCGTGAAATGTTTGGCCTGGGTCTGCGGGAACCAATCTATCCAGGATTGCGAGCAAAGGGCCCTGTCTAATCTTTCACGAACGCAGGCCAAGCCCATCCTCCTATTCGTCCAAGTGAACTGATCACCAAGGTAACCAGGATCATGGAGACCCTGATCCTGGATAAAGTCCCGCAGGCCTATCGACTGGGAAGCATTCCAAGGGCTACCACCATCCTTTTCACTCATATGAAGGGTAGAATTGAAATCTCCGATAACCACATAAGGCAATTGAAGGGATGAGCAAAGCTCACAAAGGTGAGCCAATTGACCGGCTCGAACCACAAAATTACAACTAATGTAGACACAAGTCACAATATAAGAAAATTCCTCTTCATTAATTTGGGAACAGATACAGAAATTGGAATGATAAAACACCGAAGCATCATCTCCGGGGGACCAAGAAACTACTAAACCACCAGACGCCTCAATCGCATCCACAAAAATACACTTAGAAATATCAAAACCTAAACCCCGCATACGAAGGAAGACAACACGCCGGCACGATCGGGTTTCCGAGAAAAACACGATATCCGGTTTATTAGAACGAACTAATCCAACAGCAGTTTGAAATGTGAGGGATGGTCCAATTCCTCTCACATTCCAGGCCAGAATCTTCATTTATCGGACTGGGGCCACTTCAGGCTGGCTTCCTCCACCTTTTCCTTATCATCAGCAAACTCCACAAATTGCCTCTTTGGCGTGGGAGGGGTTCCCACCTCACCCTCAATGATTGTCAAAGGACACTTGCGAATCTCGAAGGCTGGATTGGTCATGTTCGACCCATATTCATCAAGATCACTAGCCCCCTCCTTGGGTAAATCATTCTGCACCAACTTAGCATAGCATTCAGAGTCATTGACTCCGTTCATACTCCCCTTCTCCTGGGAAATAGCCAATCCAGCTTCAAAAGTTGCCGCAAACTGGGACACCTTCCCTCCCATGCCCTGGCGAATTTTAGTCGAAGGGGACACCGGGATTCGTTTTTTTATCACAAAAGCTTGGTGCCCATCCTCCATCCCCGAGTCCTCTGACTCACTCTTCTCAAGAATGGTATTACTCATCGACTTTCCCACGGCAGGTGAGGGGGTCCCATCTTCACCATCCTGCTTACCACCATGCATCCCTACGGCATTTCTACTGGCCGGGGTGTCCACGGGAATAAAAAATGGGGCCGGATCAGCTATCCCGCTGCCACCATCATGGACCTTCTCCCCACGCGGGCCTTGGGCCTTCCTAAGTTTTCGAGCAGCCCTCGGAGCCCGTTTTATGTGCGGAGCAACATCGTCAACTCCAGCCGCGCTCTGCACAGTCTGGTCAGCTGACACGGCCGATGCGCTGGCCTTGGACGCGGCTCGGCGAGCTCGCCGCTTCACGGGTTTAGAGCACCCAGCCGAAGGATCCATCGATGGCATCGCCTGGCCAGAATCCGGCAGATCAGCAGGGATCCGTGAAGAGGCTTGCGGGGGCACATGCTCAATAGCATGCTGAGGATAGGCCATATCATCGTCCGAGTCCTATTCCAGGATGAGCCGAAGAGAACTCAACCGTATCCTCCGCCTGAGCCACAACCTTCTTGGGGGTCTTCTCACGGGGAGCAGGGCTGCCGCTATCCGTTTTAGCCACAGGGCCTTTCGGGTTGCCACCCCCACCAACTCGAACTTTCAGATGGCGGTGCAGGACGAATCCCCTGGGACTAGGGCGACGATTCGGTGACCGCTTCATCAACCCCTCCCCCTGCATAACTTCCACCGCCTAGATCTCCACTCCCTGGGCCGTTGGCTTGGGTAAGACACCTGGCCTGCTCACCGCCACCCTGTTATGATGGCGACCAGCTTTGTTGGCCTTCTTTCGCCTAGTATCGGCCATCGGTCCCCGCGTGTGGCAGTTGATCCAGACCGAATTCCTCGATCCCCCAATCCCCATGGAGTGCTCGTCATTATCATAGACTTGACGTCCCAGCTTCTTAGTTGCCATATGAGGTCCAAACCGTTCTTTTCCTTGAGGAGGGTCAAAGACACAGTCGCAGAGAGCATGGCCCACACGTCCACAGTGGAAACAGAAGCTTGGCAAGAATTCATATTTGAGACTCACCCAAAAACTGTCCATTTCTTCACTAACCGCCATCAGTTGTGATCGAAGAGGCTTAGCAAAGTCAACAACCGTCCGAACTTTAATAAAATGCTCCCCCGTCTCAGTACAAGCAAAGATGCCCGAGTGGAGAACCTGCCCAATGGCAGAGGCAATGAATTTCTGCCCAAAGAGTGTGGTTCGACAGTCTTCCTGTACTCCCCAAAGCCGGATCTGAAAAGGGCCAAGGACATACCTTCATAAATCTGCTTGGTGATCACTGGGGACCAGGGGCGCAGCGTAAACAGTTTATCCTTGATGATCCAAGGGGTACGTGCCAACGCCCACTTCTTCGCTTCTTCGTTCGGCAACACTACCTCAAAAAGCCCATGCTTCGTTCTCGAGACCTTGAGCTGTCCACGAAGCTGCCAAGCATCAAGCAGGTCAGCTCGCAGCTCCAAAGTCGTGATCTGATCAGCTGTGAATAGTCTCCCCAGGATCGTGCAAGATGCACAAAACTTCGTTGACTGGACCTCCTCGAGGGAGAATTGAAGAACTTGGTCTTCGCTCACGTGAGGCATCGGACGCAGACCCTGACAAGGAGAAAGAGATAACATATTAGTCTCAAGTGTACTACGCCCTGGAAGCTTCTCCTTCGGAACGAGTATTCTCGCCATGAGGGAGACAGGAGTGTGCGTAACAGACGGAGGTGTAGGTGCTATCAAGAAGGGAGAGCCTGACAATGGCTTAAGAGGAATCTCCGTACCTGAGCAAACACCGGCAGCAGATGCTTGAGACAAGGGCTCGATAGCAGGAAAACCACTAAGTTTAATTTGATCGGGAGGTGAGTTCGTCCACCCAGACCGTAGGGTTTTAAATACACCTCCTGCAACCGGCTCAAAACCCCTCCTCATAATTAAGATGCCTAGTCGCAACAGAGGTATAGGAGGACTAGGACTTGCAACTCCACTAGGATGCGAGGGATTCAATTTCCTTCGTCGGATAATCTCGCACCCGTAACCGCCCAACAATCCCACAAAATCCGGGTGTGATCCAGACCTAACCGTCGCCACGCAGACATCCAGTGTCCCACGGCTCTGGACAGAAGCTCCCCACTTCGTCGTCCAGGGGGTCTTGCCGGCGGAAGCGCAGGAAGACAAAACCGGTTTTCAACCGCCGGCCGAGAAATCGGGGAAACCTGTAGAGTTTGCCGACTCTTCAACTGCCGAGATCCGGTCGGACTTGTCGTCAGTAACCCTCTTTGGATTACCACCCGCCATAACATAACTTTCAGACTTGGATAACAGTGATTCCTCGCCTACCACCTCCGACGGAGGGAGCCAACATCTCCAACCTGGTAGCCGACCCAACCTGCATCTTTTGGCTGGTCGGCCACTGATCAAGGAAGAATCAGGCGCGGGTATGACATCCTCACGCATCTGTAGTCTCGTCCGTTTATAGAGCCCCCCTTTGGGTTTGATAAAATTTCGAATCTGGACACGAATACCAGACTTGCACAGGTCGCCGGCGACACCAGTTGCTCTGACCACCTGTATGTGGTGCCTCGCCCTCTATCACGCGTGGCTATGATATGTTCTAGGGATCGTAGCCAACCACTCTTGTGATTCTCCACATTATGCAGCAATAGAGTAAGAAAGATCTGGCCCAGCCAACCTCCCAGTCGGAGCGGCCAATCCAAGAGCGAAGAGAGAGCTCTTCTCATTTTTTTTTTTTTAGGCTTCCAAGAAGGTGAGGGGATAAGGTGGGGATGGGTGGCCAAAAGTTATTGTTTTTTTTCTTTATTATTCAATTTTGTAAATGAAATTAAAAAAAATGAAATTATAATTTTTTTTTGCGACATGGCAGTGACCTAGACAGTTGACTAACGGTCAACGGTGTTGACCATCCAAACAAACGGTCAAACCACGCTCCGGGCCAATTCTGTCTATATGCTACATAGTTCGGGCCAGGATGTTAATTTCTCAAACCATGTGCCAAAGTTGATTACATGGTCATAGTTCAGGCCATAATAAAGTATTAACCCTTATTTTTAATGTGGGCCACTACCACTGTATTAACATTACAAGATAAAAGAGATATACAACTCAAGGATCACTGTGTTTGAACGAAACCTAAACAAAATTAGAAAATTAGCAAGAAAGCTAAGGAGCGACAACCTAAGAAAACAAGATAATGACCCACCAAACTAGATGACAAAGCAATGAACTAAAAAAACAGACGATGATAAGCAAAAAGCAATCAAACCATGAACATAAAAACCAGAAAAACTAGATGACAAAACAATGAACAAACAAACCGACAATACTAATAGTGAGCAACAACTACGCAACCAGAAACAACCAAACCATGTGAAAAAGCAGGAAACAGTATGATTAAAGGTGTGTGGAACATAAAGGAAGAAAAAAATTTAAATAAATAAACTCTTCAACTTCTCAAACCTTGCGTTGTGAACAATATTTCATCATTTTTGCTCTACTTTCAGCATCGATACCTTTAGCCAACCTCTTGTCCCTAATTTCAATTGTCATAGAAACAATCATCAGCAATAATAGACACAAATAAATCTGGGCAACGATGGATTAGAACTAACACAACAGGAGCAGAAGAGAATCGTGAAGGAGGTAAAATAGCAATGGCCATTACCCAATTTTTGGATCCATGGTTCGGTAGAACTTTCACTAAGAGGAGAACACAGTGGAAAAACTGCAAAACACAATTTTATATAGGTTTGTGTAAAATCCAACAGCTAATCTAACCTTCTAAAGCCGAAACATCAAAAAAATTGTTGGATGATAACTATCTAACAACAGCAGACGGAACCTTAGTCGCCTAACATAGCTGGAAAGCAAGGTTGAGAATATCGCAGAAAAAAGAAGGCAAAAACACTTATAAAGAAGGCAAAATAATGGGGTATTCATCCAAATAAAGGAACTTCCTCTTTCTCTGACTAAACAGGCTTACTAATTAAATGATCTTTCCTTTTATTTTGCAACCATGCACCAGTTACCTTATACGCACCAATTACCTTCTATGCAAGGAAATAACCTAAGTGTTTTATGGCAAATATAATATCACATTAACAAAGCTACGTGAAGGTGGCAAATCCACTTACAGAATAGCAAGACATAACGATTCAAATGAAACAGGGGAAGTTTGTTTTGCTTGGATCGGTTGAAAGCATTGCAGTTCAGACTTTATATGCATCTATTTACTGGTCTGACAATTGCAGTGATAGAATACATTGCTAACAAGTATAGCAATTCCACACAAGGACAAATTTAAACTTACAGGGCGTTCATAATTCACATCATCCTTAAGAGAGGCTTCACTGGACGCCAAATCCAAAGGCAGAAACTTTGACTCGTTGGGAGCAACATGCCTGTAACACAAGGCAAACATATCAGAAAGAAGAGCATTAGAGAGATGTAAATCAAGATATAGCAGTGCGAAAATCAAGAATCTTTGACTCGTAGGGAGCAACATGCCAGACACACACCCGAAAGTTGCTTCTTCACTCTCTTCAGTTCAACCTCATTTCGAGCTGACAGAATAAGCTTGAGACCCAAACTGGCAAATAGTTTGGCCAGACCCGCACCTAAAATGGACCAACATTAGGACACCAACATAGAAAGTGACTGACATAAGCGATAATTAAGAAACATCTTGGTTGGAAATTCATGACCCAGTCAGGAAGGTAAAGAAGAGACGAAATACGGGAATTACCTACCCCAACGCCACCACTCCCTCGCCTCCTCTACATGTGTACCACACCTTCCTTTTCACCACCAGCTCCTCCAGAAACCAGTCCAGCTACTAGATGGTCACGTTGAGCATCACCACCACATGAACAATAAGCATAACAACACATTTTTACCTTCTTTCGTTGCTCAGGCTACATCTCAACAACAACAAAGCATTAATCTTCCATAAAAATTATGTATCAAGCGAGAGTCTTCCTCCACCCACAAACTGCAGTGTCTTACAGAAGTACTGAAAGCTCACTCGAGTGTCAATTGGAACAGTGGAAAAGAAGAACCCGAACAACCAAAGGTTTAAACTTCGCCTTTATATAAAAAGGGATTAAACTTCACCCCAGATCAGCAACAACCCATTAGAATATGAAATAGATCCAACCAAAACAAAAGCTAGAGCTTCCTTACAAGCCAAATCGAATCCACCTAGTAAATGCAAGATCTGGGCAATCAATTCCGCACAGAAAAGGAATTGAGAAATCCCAACAAGTTGCTAATCGGGGAACGGCCAACTCGTACGGAATATCTGGCACCGAAACAATAGAAGGACCAAGACAGAAGAGACGAATCATTAAGCAAATAACGAATAGGAATCAGAACAATGAAACCCAGAATAGAAGAAGGCATACAGATAGGAATTAGAGCAAAGAAACCCAAAATAGAAGAAGGGATGGAGTTTCATACCTTTTCAAACTTGCAGAATTTTTCCTGCGAGCTCATCAGTCTCCTAGGCGTTGTTATCGTCGGCATATGCAACACAAATTTCCGATTCATCCTCCTCCACTATCTCAGCTTCGCGTGGCCGAGCACTCGAGCCTAACAAGCCAACCATCGCGATGTTGGACTCTATCTCCCGATGGAGATCAGGTACAAGAAGACGCGTTTCGGCATCATGGATCCGATGAAAATGTCAGGGCAACGCCATAGATTTTCTATGGAGGCGTTTCGGAAGTGACCTTTCTTCTCCGTCTTGCCAGCGTCTCTTATTTAATCCCCTAACGGATCAATATAAAGAGAGAGGACCAGATGTAAACAAATCTGTGGATTCGCGATGGCTAGTGGATGTGATGATGGGTCAATGGGGAAGGAGGCGATTTCATCGATTTTACAATGTGAAGAGATAGAAGATGGAAAATACAATTTGATGGACAAACAATGGGTGTTTAAGTTATGATTAGAAAAAATTAGGTACAAAATATAAAAGGATATGAAAAATATGTATAGGATATAAATAGTACGTATGAAAAAGTAATGAGACCAACTAATTATTTTAATATTGTAAATAATAAATTAATTAATTAGTATTAATCAATGCCGTTAGATTAGATCAACTCTATGATTTTCTCCTAGTTATAAAGGTTCCCCAGCAACAGCGCCAAAAGCTTGGCGACGGGTTTTCTACCACTCCCGTGTGGGCGCTGTCAATAGATTGAATGACTTTCCTAACTACCCCGTTCTAAGCCAAGTGTAACTCAGAATGGCATTGTTAGTATAGTGGTTACCAAGGTCGTATTCCACAGGTTTCGATACCCTAGGTTACTTCTCACTTTGATGTTATCTAGTCAACTAGTTTAAGTTTTTGGGTTGGAGGTTGATTGGAAGATACTGGTGGAAAAAGCTAGGATAAAAGCAAGGTACTTCGGGGTGCCACCCTCGCCCTAAATTAGGTTCATCATGCAAATGGCTACCTATGTCGGGTTTGTAGGATAGGATGCCGAACTCTCTAATATGGGGGATTCGACAACTACTCTCCGTTAACCAGTCTAGTTTTGCCATTGCTGAGAGTATTGAGTAGTTATAGGTAGTTGTGATAGTATATATGTTCAATAAAAATAATAGGGTTAACGCCTGGGGTCAGTGAACAATCTAGGTTCGGGGGTAAATAATTAATGTTTTGAGTTTATTATAATGTTAGTGAACTGGTGATCTAGTTTGAGACACATGATGTAGTTTTATCATGTTAGTGGACCGGTGGAGCAAGGGTATTCGTAAAGCGTGGTGGTCGATCCTTCGGTGGAGATTAGTGCAAGTCCTCCAGTTTGATTAACAAGGTGAGTGTAAAGGGGGTAAATTCTACGCCTTACATATTCTTTCAAGTGTTAGAGTTTTCAGTATTTTTGTGAAGTGTTGTTATGGTTGTTTATGCTCATGATTGATGATATGTGCATGTTGAGCTGTGGTTTATAGTGAATGTGTGTTATTTGCTTTAAAGCTTTACGTTTATGAGTGATCGTTAAAGTTAAGAACAAGTCCTTTGTTTTAAGAAGTACTTCACCTTCAAGAAGTTGAAGTTGTTTTAAGTGTTTTTAGTCACTAGCGCCATTCCGTTGCCATTTGAGATTTTCAGATAGAGCAGCAGTTATGCTCTTGAGATCTTTGAGACAGAGCAACAGTTGTGCTCTTGAGATATTTAAGTTGAGCAACAGTTATGCTCTTGAGATTTTTAAGATGAGAAACAATTATGCTCTTGAGAATCGTGGAAGAAGAGCCTTCCGCAACAAGTTTAAGTTTAAGGAAAGCGTAAATGGCTTCTCATACCTATGAGTTGGCAACCGGACTAGTTAGTGAGGGATCCCCGTGTCAGTCAAAAGTTCAAGTTGAGATTTAAGTTTTAAGAATGGAGAGTAACTTTAACTCCGATACAGTTTAAGAGTTAATATTTTTTAGAGTGGAAGCACAAACAACTTCCACCAGTTTAAGTTAAATGTCTTAAGTAAGTTCTCAAGTACTAGAGATTTAAAAACGTAAGGGCGTAGACTGACCCCAACTCACTCACCAGTTTGAAGAGGAAGGAGCTAGAGGAGCAGTTAGAGAGCAGCGAGATCGAGAGAAACAATTCGAGGGAAGCTAGCTAGAGGAGGACAATACGAGCGTCACAGAGGATGTCTAGTCAGAGTTTCACACAAGCAGCAACACTTGAGAGTAGTTAATTATTATGTTTTATGATTATGAGTATAGACCGGAGATCAAGTTGAGTTCTTAAAGTTTGAGTTAAGTTTCCCATGTGTTAGGGCGTTGCTTTAAACTACAAGAGTGTGTTTTCAGAAATTTATTTATGAAAATTTTTCCCATTGCAGTTTAAGCTTTGAGTGTTTCCATTTTTAAGGATATTCTAGTAAAATTAGTACCCAACCGGGTTAGGGTGTTTCAAAAACTCTACCAGATCTGCCAAAAAACAACCACATTTTCAAACTACCATTGCAAAACCTTTATTGTCAGGTGAGGAACCCGAATGTGGCGGGGCGACTTTGCCGAGGGAGGGTGACGGCGAAGAGAAAAGAATACAACGTCGGTAACCATCGATTAACTTATAACTGGTTATCTAGTTAGTCGGTCAATTAGTTTCCTTCCGATAACAATAGCCGGTAGTAGCTTAGCACTAAGCGGTATACTGATAATCGGCTAATCTGTTATCAGTTTAACACCCCTAAACATATCTTCGCTAGGTGTTTATGGAGTTATTATAGTATGTCAGTCTAGTAATGAGGGGGGAGGCCATTTGGTCGCATATGATACTAGATCCAATAGGTCAAAAATGGGTTTGTACTGCAAGTGTTGAACAATCTAATCAGTGGCGGAGGGAGAGGGTAACAGGGTGGGTCCCGGGACCCACCTTGGTTCAGGGGAAAATGGTTAAATTAGGTACGATAGTTAATTAATATCGAAAACTAGGTCGCATTTAATTGAGAATAGTTGGTCGAAAAGTTTTCTGTTTGAATCTTGGCGACCTCATTTTTTAAGCATACGGTATACAGATTTGTGCAAACATCAATTTCGTATAAGTTGACTTTCTTATAAGGGATCATGGTAGTAAATGGTATTATATATTATTGAAATCTTGCAACAACTCGATTTATTGATACAAATATTTTTTTAAGAACATCATTCGGAAGTGAACGGCTAGGTAAATCATGAATTATTGGTTGGTATAAGATTTATTATTAAACCTCTATAAAAAACTCGAGGTATTGATACTAACGGTTTTTAACAAAGAACACCATTTGAAACACTACGACTAACTAAATCAATGATTGTTTGGTATATATGCATAGTGATATTCTTGATATTTTGGACTGCTAATGCATTTTATTTTATCAAAAGTTTTCAACTAAGATTATATTAATAAAATTATTTTATCATATTTATTTTTTTCGAGGTGGACCCATCTTAAACGGAATTCTGGCAACGCCACTGAATCTAGTTTACACAAGTGTGGGCTTACAAAGGCTAGGGCTCAGAAACTCTTTCTTTTATTCATCAAAAGGGGCCCTAGTTGGCCACTTTTCCAGACCGGTATCGATATGTGGAAGTGATAAGAAATAAATATTATTTTTGCACCTTAGATCAATACGAAGTGGGCCTGGAAAATTAGCAAATGGGTTGAAGTTTTTATAACCCGAAATCCAAATGACACGAACCCGATTAACTTGTAATTTTTGGGGATGGATTGGGTGGGTTAGTGGGTCGACCGGCTAGACCAGTTACATTCCATATGTCACTCTCAAAATGATGAAATCACTTATAAATTGGTGAGATGTTTAAAACAATTCATCAGGATTTTAAAGGCAAGTTTTGAGTGTTATGATAATCTAACATCCTTTGTTTCTTGTAGTAGATAACTTTCGTGATTATTTTTTGACGGTTTATACAATCTAATTTCCCTTTCATTAGCATAGAAGAATTTCAGCATCTGTTTATTGACATGTGTTATGTTAATTATTGTCATACATATGTGAAAATTTATGTTCTTTAAAAATTTATGAAGCATGTTTGATATTATTTCTGGAATGTTCATAACCCGAAAGACTCGAGATCCGATCCGAAACCCGATGGGTTGGGTCAATATCTTACCTAAAATTAGCTAGCCCATGATGACCCGACACGTGATGATCTTTAACCCAAGATTTTCTACCCGACCCGATTGCTAGGTCTAATAAGAAGGGTAGCTTGTCAAGCTGGCCTATATATATTCTCATTATAATCTATAAAGATATAAATAAAAAGATGAAATGTTAGAGTTAACCGTTAGAGTTAACGGTCACTGGTAGCCTAAGATTTTTCTTACTATTGAAAAGATAAAACAGAGATTACAGAGAATTCTAATTTTCATATCAAAGCAGCTCCTTTCTCTAATTGGTAAGTAAGTAAACTACCTTTCCGTTATGAAACTTTCCATAGAAAGCAGCTTGCACTCGGCAATAAGACAAAAACATGGACTCTTTTCCATAGACTGGAGAGTCAAAGATGTCGTAATTTGCATATTGAGTTTTAAGAATTTGGTCCCTTATTTCCCCCTTAGGAGTGAATCCCTTCTTCAAAGCCTTATTCCCCTCTCTCCTCTCCCTTCGTCCTTCGGATAATATATTCTCTCCCTCTCCTTTCACTCGAGAAACTCTGTTTGTGGTTAGAATTTGCTCTAGACCATGAGCTTTGACACTTTCCTCTATTTTGTCCCGTTTTGGCTCCCTTTTTTCCGACTATCATTCATGTTTCCAATTTCATAGGCTAGGACCTAAAATAGTGATAGCACCCTAATTGGTGATATGTAGCCTTCGTATTTTAGTTTTTGCATGTCATTCTTTGATCTTCACGGTTAGTATATTTTCATTTGCATCGAAGCATTTCGTGTCATATTAGGGTGCATTCGAAGATACTTGCATTTTAGGCACCAAAACAGGGCGCAAGTGTATGATTTTGAACTAAGCAGAAAGATCACGACATAAGGGCAGAGATCACAGACAAGAAGAGGATCCCACGAATATAAACCGAAGACACGAGCTCTAGAGAAAGATCGCAACAGCAAATCTGGAGCGCTCAACCGTGAACTTGGAGAGGTGGCAGTCAAGAGGAAGAAGAAGTTCCGATAGTCGACTCGCAACCTTCTTCGTCCAAGACTGCAAAGAAAGATCATGGCCGCGACTTTTGGTTCGTGATCGAGAAGTTAGTCCGCGATCTCCCAATCTAGCAAAGCCAGAATGCCAATGTTTCAACTTCGTGGGCTCTTCACTAAAGATCCCACCCGCAATCTCAGAATCTCCAATTGTGAACTTGTCCATGTTTTCTTAAGGCTATAAATAGAGGACCTCTCGTCCTTTGTAAGGGATTTTATACACTTGGTCAAATTTCTGGTTTGTAGAGAGAGTTTAGAAAAAGAAGCTGAAGGAAGGAGACGAAAAGAGAAGAGAA